ACCACCGGACTGCCCGGTCTACCACACAGCATAGTGAGCGAGCCCGACCCCCGGCCGAGCCCGCCCGCCCCGAGCCCCCGTTGACCTTGAATAATATAACAGTCCTCTGATAACGCGAATGAACCATTTAGGCCCCTTTCCAAACCCACTCCAACCCTCCAGTTATACACTTGAACTGCTACGCGACTACCACATCAGCACTACATCACTCCTAATTTTTTCTTCCCTATATATATATAATTTGATTGAATCATTTTATGAATCAACTGGAAGTAGTTACTATTATTACTTCAGAAGATGGAAATATTAAGGATGATGATGGAAAAATGGCCGATATGATTGCCCCGTAAAATCTGTCCGCTCCACTGCTTCCGAGAAATTTTAGAAAGAGTTTGTGCTTGAGAGAGAATGGAAAAGATAGGTAAGTAAGTGTGAATGGAAGAAATACCGAATTCGATTGAATACACATTAGTTAATACTCTGCTCTGATGTACACTAAAAGCTTATACACAAAATATCTAAAGATATACATGTATACAAACTTACATAAGGGCTTAAATATAGATGATGTAAATTTATGCATAAATTTTTACACAATTTGGTATAAAAGCATAATTGTTGAGGTATTATATGCAATGAATAATTTAGTGTGTTTGGACAAGAAGATACTCTTAGCATAAGTGGTCGCATATTTAATTGAATAAATTATGATATTTTGCAGCAACTCAGTAAAAGTCTTATTATATCGATATTTTATTAGTCAATAATAATTACTCACATTTTGCTAAATAATTTCCATTATATGCATATTACAATCATATTGATTCTTTTAACTGCTAGATACAAAGAAGCATTTTTTTAACTGACAAGTAAGATAAAAATGCTTCCACATAATTATGATATTTTCTTGATTTATTTTGATATTATCATAAAATAAAATAATAAAATGAAGTAACTTACATAAAAAATAATAATAAAAACTGCAATATGTTTACAAATATTGTATATATTTACAATAAACAATGATTATTATGCTTGATGAAATATTGTATTGCATATACATTTGATTTTCACCGGCTTTGTTTACTGTGTATTATAATTTAGATAAAGTAATGTCATTAATTAAGGCAGAACTTTGGGACCTATTAAAAATGATATAAACTTAAATATTTCTGTAGTTATTAATGCTATCTCAAACAATTTTGAAAAAACTTTATTATTAAATATCTTAACTATAGACTTAAAGATTTATTGATTACGTTTACAAATTTTGTTTTTTTTATTGTAAATTTAATTTTGAAATTAATTCTGAAATAGTTAAAATGTTAATGTAACATTCATTTAAAATTCTATGAAAAATATAGAAATATAGATTGCTCATATTATTCATCAAGGTTCTTATGTTATATTTTTACTTAAATAAATTAGTGTGTAACAAGCTTTATCTTGCATCAGTATGCACAGGTGTATCCAATCAAATTGGCGAGAGAAAGAGAGAGAGAGAGAGAGAGAGAGAGAGAGAGAGAGGGGGGGAGGGAGGGAGAAAGAGAGAGAGAGAGAGAAAGAGGAGGAATGGAAGTAAATGAGTAAGTGACGAGTAATGAAGCTACATTCGGAAATACCACTCGAGTGATCCTATGTATTATTTTATCCTCATTGTCCATCCTATGTTAATTATAAACAAAGATAAAATGACATACATAGGACTATTCGGGTAGTATTTCCAAACGTATTCTAAGTGAGTGAGTACGTGCATGAGAACATGTGTGCGTGCGTGTATTTTGAAAAGAGTATGTATAAGTGAATAAAAGTAATACATGAAAGTGAGAGAAAAGTAGCGCATGCTAAAGAGAAAAAGAGAAAAAGATAGAGATAGTGAGTAGAAAGAGAGAAGGAAATGAAAATTGCAGAGTACTTGTATTATATGTGCGTGATTTTGCGTTCGCATTTTTGCATTTGTAGAATCGCACGGGTAAGAGAGTGCATTTTGATGTAATGTTTGTACCAAACCAAATACAGTTGGACAGAGTATAATGATGACAATATAATGAAGACATTCGGTCTTTCTCGCGATCTTCCGATTCCACTAATTTTGTATGATATTTGTTTGATTTATACGCGCTCTCTTTTGCACTTTCTCCTTTCAAGAAATATGTATAAATCTTATAATTAATCACTTACTTGCAAAAAATACATTATTAATTAAACAGAAAAAGTGTTAGGATTTAATGAAAAAATATATATATTGGATACAATAATAATGTAAATGTATTAGGTTGATTATAAGAGAATTGTTTTCTATATAGAGTTATTCAAATAATTCTAATTTTTCTTTTATATAATTCTTAATGAAATAATTTTATTCTGTGTGACTCTCTTATTAAACAATTCTATATGAAATTATGTGAATATATTAAAGTTCATTTCATTCTTTTCTTTTTTGTTCTGGAATAATTTTCGTATATTCTTTTTTATTCCGAAAAAAAATATTTAATCTGTAAATAAGAGATTAAATATTTTTTTTACAAAATTAAGAATTAAAAAAAAATAGGAAAATTATTTCGGAACAAGAAAGAAAAGAGATGAATTTTGATGAATTTAACATGTAATATTGTAAAGGTAAAAAATAATTGATGTTTGTATAAAATCACCGATGATACTATAGAGTCAATAGTACTTGCATAATGAAAATTATAAGCATAATGAAAATTTGAAAGTATACTTACTGGTGTTTAGCAATTAATATTTAACTTTATATCATCATTAGTATATAATTTTCAAATATACTCCCATCGCCATTTAATTTCTCAAATTATTAATGGAAATATTTAATTGTTATATATTGATGATTTTGTTAAATTATAGATAAGTATACAAAAAAAGGTGCAAGTTTTTTACTTTCATCAATATAATTAACACATAATTTATGGAGTTATATTTGTAATTTTATAGAATATAGAGATCAATTACTACATATCTTTACACTTTTCAGATATACAAAAGAAAAAATCCATAGTTATAAAGAAAAAAAATGTAGATTTATTAAAACTTTTCCTGTTTTTCCTTTTATATTTTTGTGTCAAATAAAGAAAAGAAATAAATGGATCAAGTTTTTGGTTAGCCTAATGTTTATACAGAATATTTTATAAATACATATTAATATTTTAGGAGATGAAATTACACTAAAAAAATGTCATGAATATATGTTCTATACTTTAATTTTCGAGTTACGGATGATTATAGAAAACGTTTGAAGTGTTTGCATCGTGCTTCAACATACATTACTACATATATTTGTTATAATATTGATGGATATTATTTGTAAACATTAGATAAGATCAAGATGTGCTGAGGTGTGTAGTAACGTCTGTTGAGGTGAATACTTTGAACAATTTCTTTAATCATTTATAACTTAAAAATTAAGGTATGTAAGACTTCATATGACATTTTTTACTTTAATATGTGAAATTCACTGAAATGTTGTATATGTGAGAAACCCAATATATATATATATATATATATATATATATATATAGGGTGATTTATTTTAATCGTAATAGGCAAATATTTTTAAAATATGCAATTTTACCTAAAAACATTCCAAATAAAAGTTGTGCGATATAGAGAGGGACATCACGATTGTATGCCTCCCTCTATATCATACAACTTCTATTAGAAATATTTTTTGATAAAACTACATATTTTCGAAATATTTATCTGATAAGATTGAAATGAATTATCACACACACATACATATACATACACGCACTTAAATATTTTGTTGGAAAAAATCTTATAATTTTTAAAAATGCATTTCATAAAAGAAAAATAGCTTTTCAAACTAGCGTTTGAATTTTGTCTTCACGATATTTTGTTTCTAAATTATATAAAATTGAAAATAGATATTTTTTTAACTTTTGTTATTTTTTGAAGTACTGTATCTGGAAGAAACATCGTCGAACAAAATTAAACAAATAAGCATTTTAAAGTGAACATTCTAAGCTTTAAAATGCTTTTTGAAAAAAAACTGGTACGATGCTTTTTTGCAAAAATATCGAATGTTTATGTTATGTAAAATTTTAGTGCGTAAAAACTTTATAAAATGATTTGTATAAAATTTTTAAAAAATTTTGAAAAAATGCATACAAATTAAAATAAACATCTTTTTTGTCTTTTTTCTGTAAACTATTAGTTTGGAAATTAAAAACATTTTAAAAAGAGCAAGCAATTTTACGCAATGAAATGTTATACAATAAAAAATTTCATATCTATGAAAAATTATTATACCAATTTTTTTTTTGAAAAATATGTTAAATTTAAGATCTTTACTTTGAAACGCTCAAATTTTGTCCGATGATGTTTTGTCTAGGTACAACACCAAAAAATCGTGCCCGGGCTTCGCCATTTTTGCGGGCATTGCATCACTTTTAATCTTTGTATCTTTTATATAACGTGATCTGGCCGTATCTACTTCCACTTATTATTTCGAGAGACGGGAACCATTAACCAAAGAAGAAAAAAAAGAAGAAAGAACAAAAAATGGAGATAATTCAAATATTGCTTTAGAAAGCTCTATTTCCTTCTTTAAAATGCATTTTTAAAAACTTTTCTACGATTTTTTTTAACAATATTTA